CAATATAGGTCCAATCAAACATTGTTTGTACACGATGCATGTTACACGTGCTGAGAAGAACTCATCTCAATAATTAAGGAAAATAGTATCGTATCTAGAAAATACCTGAGGAGGGGGCAAAACATGAGAGTCGATAACCGTAGGACCAAAGTCCCTGGATCCACGGGTTTGGAGGCTGCCTGAGGTCCCCCAGAAGCCAATGGCCTGAGATGAATTTTGAACACGTAGATAACTAAATTTGGAGTATAAAAGAAGGTCTAAACTCCATTTCATAATTTCACAGAACTAGAAACAAAATATTAAAATATGGCAATCAAAATATGTTTTATATATCAGATGATCGTTTCCTTAAACGTAGGCCGGTTATCTAATCAATACTTTATCAACTGTTTTAAACCTGGAACTGATATCTGATGACTCAGCAATTCTGCGTTGTATTAAGATATGTGACCATTAAAGGCATTGTAAATAAGTGTTCTAATTTTTTTATGTGTATCAGGGACACCGATAGCATCAATTTGCAACATTCCAAATCGCGAAGGGCCTTATTTGATACAAGCATATTATGCGATTAGTGACGTCATTTAACAGTTAGTTTTAGTGATTGAAAATTGGAATGGTGAAAATTGGAATGGTTTAAAATGATGCATCTGTGTCCCCGATACAAATATAAAATCAAATTGTACGTCAAGAAATTGTCATTGTCCAAACATGATTGTAAATAAATCAAATTTTCGGGTAATTTGATCTGGTTGAATGAACCGTATTTAAAAAAACACAATAAATATACCCTTATAATCCCAATAATCTGATATTAAATTACGATGGTATATCTATCTAACAATATCTATATCGAAATATATGTCAACTTTATAACAAATATATCGTTGATTACGTATTTTCATATATTTAATATTCTAATCATTTTGTATCTTTCAGTATTCCTCTAATTATCGATTTCTTACTCAAATATTTTCCGTCCGCTTCCAAAAACACAATGATAAGATGGGCAAACCCATTCTGAAAGCAATAAACTGCCATTGTGCCAATGTTGCCGATGATCTTAAAAAATGCAGGCTTCACACTGTTCCCATATTGATATCGAATGGCCATACCAATACGGAAAGTTGAATTTCGAGCGAAGATAGCCCCGAACTATTTTTGCCAACACTCTCGAAATAGTTGCCGGAAGCTGAAAAACTCAACCGATGGTCATACGATGGGTTAAGATGTCCTCACGAATGACCCGATATTTATACGCTAAGGTCCGAATTTGAGCATTTCCTTCATCGTGAGTGCATCTGGTGTCAATTTCGGGACAGTGTGATGCGACCTAAATAGATATCATAGTTTAGTATGGATCACAGTTCAGCCGCGGCGGGCGCTCCTCAAGCAATCTTTGTCGCTGTCTTTTTTTCACTTTTCAGTTTTACGCGTTTTGTGTTATCAAGGTTATGATAGTATAATCTAAAGGTAAAGATATCAGATTTTTCTGTTTACATTGTACCCGATTAATTCAAAAATAAAAAAATCAAGTGGCCGACAGAATTTTAGTCCTTGTGTGCTACCTTCCTTCCCTTTGCAGCATTCAGCAGTCCGACGTCTGCAAATTTACTGACGTTTTATGACGTTGCTATCACGGAGGCCTTCAGACATTAATAGGAACTTTTTAGGCATTTATAATCACAGGAACCACACACTGGATATTGGAATGGTGCAAATTATTGCTAGTCATTATGGTCATGATACATATGAAAAGGTTAGAAACCCCCTTATAATTCCTTTACATCCTCACAGTGCCAAGCTATTACTTACTTCGTCTTATACCTTGACTGCAATTGGCACTAATTTTGGATCACGGTCTTAAAGACTGTAAACATTGTTTATTGGCCATTCCTTTTTGTCGTGAGCTGTGATTGGCTATATTTGCTAACGTACAATCCAATCAAATCGTTTACAAACTTCCGTGATACAAGAATAGTGGTTATTGCAGTCAAGGTATATGACGAAATTGGTAATAGCTTGACGTTGTGAAGATTCCTCTTTAAAGGCACACAATTTTGTCCATTTATGGTTATCACAATGCCTATATTATGAGCCAAACTTAAACTAGTTATTTATTCAATGCTCCTGCTAGATCTCATTATCACAATGCTATTACGAACTGTACCTAATACCTTGACTTCAATAGGCTCTTTCTTGTATCACGGAATACATCGATTTGAATAGATTGTACGCTAGCGAATGCAACCAATCAGAGCCCTCGACATAAAAACTGTAAATATTACGGCTTATTACGTTATAGTCTGTCGTTATTGTACAATTAAATCAAATAAAAAAAATATACCAATGAAGTCAAGGTATTAGACGCAGTAATGACAGTCACGTCGTAAGGGTAGGGTTCGAGGGGGCAGGGCCCCAGCAATTGAGAATTAAGTCCCAGCAAAACATTCTTCGGTTCAGCAGAGATTGATTCATTTCATCTATGGACAAAATCCAGAAAATTAAATTTTGATTCGTTTTCGGCACCTCAAAATTGTTAGAAATTCTCTGGGCCTTGAATTCTCAAATTTTCTGAGTGCAAAATCTGAGCCCCAGCACCAATTCATTCCTGGCGACGGAGTTGAGTAATGGTTATAAGACATTTATATCTACTCTATTTAAAGAAATGTCAATAAGAATTCTATGTCAAGGATAAGATTGTAGGTTAATCCTTATAGCAAACATTTGTTCAGTGAAGGCTACAATAGAATGGACGGTAATATAATAGTGATTACCAGACAGAGAGCACATGGCGGTCATACACCACGGGTCATTGTAAAAGTTCAAGTGCCCCAGCGGTATATGGAAGTGCATGGACAAGGCGCTAGGAATAGAGAGCAAAGAGTGCTTGGGATCGAATGCAATCGACAAGGATCCTGAGAGGGGTAACGCTGAAAACCCCAACAGCTACTGCAATGGTGTCATTAAAGTGTAAGGACGCGGCTTGGGTTACAACCGAGAACAGGCAGACAACATGATATATAGCACATGGTTCCAAGACCTCTGCCTTGACCCACAGTACACCAACCCCAAAGGCAAGCATATGAGTACATGTTGAAGTCTAAAATCTATAAAGTGTCCCGAGAGACCTACGAAGGCTAGACAACGACATTTGTTTTAAAAGTACAGCTATAATATCAGAAGTCAAGGTTGACACTTGACGGATCCTAATCTGACTCATTTTTATTTCTTTCGTAGAGCAACAGCTATGTCTTTCATCTTTTAAATCATGTAAATATTGAAACGTCTGGTCGGTCATATTATCAAATTTAGAAATTTTGGCGAAAGTTTCCAGTCGGGACACGTGCAAGACAATCAAGACAAGTGCAATGTCATCAACGAAAAAACGTGAAAGGATAAACTAGATGTACAGACAACACGTCAAACATCACGAACGTCGCCTTTCTCACTTATCTCTTATTGAATCAAAATCAATTACACCAACAGACACAACCGGAAGTTAACAATTGGACCAAACTTGACACTCGCTCCTACGTATGATGATTAATAATGTAAAACTAATGTCGAGTAAGAAATAAATATAATAATTATTATTCATTATATATTCAGATCCAGCTATTATTTCTTCTTTGTCGCGTTTAAAATTGTTTCATACGGTTTTACTATATTTCAACAGGTTTCACAGTAGATCCAATACGTAGAACGTAATGTTTTCGGTAATAAAAAAAGATTCATATTTGACTTTTTACTACCGAAAACTTTAATAGCTGCCACATACTACCAACGGCGTCGACGTCAATTTTGACACGAAGGAACTTTAGATCATTTGATGATCTCTGATTTGCCACGATTATCCTTAATCTAAAATTTTATTTTTGGCATTGGCAACATGAATTAAATAGAATTAGTTTGATTACTATTATCTCGATAAATCCGACATTTTTCGTTTTCTCACAAAACCTTTCATTTGAGTCTACATGTACATTAAAGCTGTCTCCTTTTAAGACACGACCTTTATATCCCATAAAAACACATATTAAAAGCTGTAAGACACGTTATGTAACGTTTTAACCTAAAAATAACTTACTGAGGCTGGTAAGAAAGTAGTCGTCGCTTCATAAACCGGCATGTTTCAGCTATCCTAGTTCGTAACCTTCAACAATAAACTCCACAAAACTTAAAAAATTCACCAACAATAATATGTCTATTCATTCCATATCGTTACTTCTACCTACCGACCCATTTAATCCGCATTAATCACAGATTGATTTGATCCTAAACGGTGAATAAGAAGCTAACAATAAGTAGTCTACACTGCCACATACTCTGTCACTCTCTTAACAAGTGTGACTCTATTACCCAGTGTGACCCCTTTATATCAAATAACAGCTGACATTGATAAAGGGTACCCGTATTTGAGTGTAATATGCCCGACGTTCCATTGAACAAACGGTCCAAAAATTAATTGAATATCACGACTTTGAGTTGACATCATGCATCTTCATACAAACAAATTGTTCAAAAGTCCCCTAAATCTTCAGGACTGAATAGGAATAAATTTATGCTAGATCAACAAAGGTGATGTCATATAATTTCGATAATTGCACAACCCATAGACATATGGTTTGAAATATTCAACAAAATATTTGTATTTTGCATCGGATATAAGAAAAACGTGAATAAGGGCCTCGTCTCCCAAAAATGGGGTACAAATAGGGTACACAGACTCAATAGGGGGGAGGGGATTGGGGACAAATGTTGAGCCTGAATTCAAAATGCGGCAACTCCGTGGACGCGTCAGTCACAAGCCTCACATTGAGCGTCTGAAAGGGTTCTCCCAAGAATTTTTTAAAAATAGAATTAATTCGGTGCATTCTGATGCATAATTTAGTGTAAAAATATGAACATATCATTTATTTCTAAATCAAGAAACTGTCAGTGCAAATGGAATTGTTTCTGCTGAAAAGTACGCTACAGGTATTGAGATTTCAGATGGTAAAGATATTGTGACGACTGGACCCCTTTATTAAACTGTGTCAGTAACGGCGATAGGCAGTTTATACCAGCCGCCCTTCGTCACGTGGATAAGAAATGTCTCTCAGTCAGAGTACAGTCTAGTATAAATAAAACATTTAATCAATTCATAAGACTTCGTTTCGTAATATCGAATATCACACCAGAAAGTGCAGGCAACCATTATAACGATCCAATGCCTCTTCTGATCAAATTGACTGAGTTAAACTGAACAGTAGATAGCACCGACTGCTTTTAATACAGTTTAAGAATACAATAAACAACCCCCACCGGCAGGAGGGAATTGAAGCTAGTGGGGGACTGAAGACCCTCCCCTGAAACCCAGTAGACCCTAGAATGCATTTCTGGTGATTTTGAAGCGGCTTTCATCTTTAAACATGCGCAGTCACCAATCCTCTGATTCGGTGACGTATTTTGGCGGTAGTTTTTGGGCCATGCTCACTCCCTCTTTTGGGGCCATAAAATTAAATCTATTCTACTTTCACTTCCAAAATCGCGTTTTCCGGGTTCCCGCACTAGAGATTTTTTAGACCACACAAACGTGACTAGTGCTCTGTAAAATCCGCAAAGGGACGCTACTGCTCGGCTTTTTTCCTCATACGAAAGACTAGATGCTTTTTCCATTTCAACCCCTCCGACCAGTATTTTGAGAACTCATTAGAGTGTGATAACAGAATACCTATTAACAACTATGTTGTCGGTGAAATTATGAATAGGCACCTACTCTATTTCTGGTGCACCTTATCCTAAACAAAAAAACCCTTACGTTCATACACAGGATTTAATAAAATCCCATTCACAAAAATATCTAAGGTAAACATATCACCGAGGTAAAATAAAAACATGTGGAGGATTTACGAGAAACTCAAGATCCACTTCTCGACAGTGCAAACAGTCACAAAATCAATTTCGTATCAGCATGAATTGCACAACCTTGTTTAATTGTAAAGTGATCTCAAAATGTGATCTCAATGATCGAGTTGGGGCATGCCCCTAACGTCACATTTGACTCGAAGATCTTTAGAAACTCTGCAAAAGCACTTCATCTTTAATATAGTCGTAGCGTTTATGTCTCTGGTGTCTTCATATCGAGTTGTTTCTGATGTTAGATAACCTAATACATTGTATTGAGTTGTGTCTGATGTTAGATAACCTAATACATTGTATTGAGTTGTTTCTGATGTTAGATAACCTTATATCGAGTTGTTTCTGATGTTAGATAACTTCATATCGAGTTGTTTCTGATGTTAGATAACCTTATATCGAGTTGTTTCTGATGTTAGATAACCTAATATCGAGATGTCTCTGATGTTAGATAACCTAATATCGAGTTGTCTCTGATGTTAGATAACCTTATATCGAGTTGTTTCTTATGTTAGATAACTTCATATCGAGTTGTTTCTGATGTTAGATAACCTTATATCGTGTTGCCCCTGACGTCCGATAACCTTATATCGATTTGTCTATGTACATGTATATGGTGTTTGATATCTTGATGTCTACTCACAACTATTTCCAGCTGTCTGGCGTAAAGTTGATTAATCAACAAAGGTGTTGCTCTAATGGGAAGGTCTTTGCCGGTATACTCATGTTCGTACCAGTAATTCAATATAAACTTGTCCGTCTACACTAGGAAAACACTAACAGAAGCACTTTGGGTGGTTGGGTTATTCAAAGCTAGAAGTCTAATTGGGAAATACCCTTTATCTTCATCTGTTTACGAATAGTCCGGATAACACAATATCCACCCTTATTCCGGTCGACTCTTATGATTGTAACCTGGTTTACTATCTTAGTAACCGATTCTATATAATTACTAGACATGTCCACTATAACTATAAAGTAAAAGTTTAGTATTTCTATAATGACACTCGGCTCTATGCACCCTAATACTGTCACTGTATATTTCACCTTTCTTTATATACAGGCCGTTCCTTTGGCATGCATCACCGAAGAAATCACCGAACTCGGAGAATAGTACCGACACCGCCTCAGTAGCAGCGTAGTACGAACACCTTTCGGATGTGAAGGGGCCATTATAATGTAAATATTTTGTTATTGTATATCATTCGATTATTTCCATAGCTTTGTTTATAATTATTATCTTGCTGTGAATTATTCATAGAGAAATTAACGCCACTGATATTATAATCCCATTCTTAATTTACTGTAATGTTAAAGAGAGGTTAGGTCGAGCATTTGGATTTTCAAGTACTGTTAGTAACTGGACCAACGATTGTCATCGGTTGCTTCTATGACCATTATATCCATAGAATTTGCTAGCTAATTTTCTATATGCACGTATCGGTTAAATACGACAGATCCTATGAGAATAAGAGTCGATCCCAAACGGGTCCGCCATTCCATCTTGCAAACACAACTGGGGTCCATTTTAAGTCCATCCGTCCAGCCTAAAAAAGAATAAAGCTACAGACCACATACATGTACTCGTGACACAACATTTGGTGTGTAAATATATTGAATGTCGACTAGACTATAGTATACCATCGATTTTCATTGCAAAAAAAGGACAGAACAGTCAGGGTCGTAGCAAGTCAAGACGTCTTGGTCTATAGGCATACTTCGTGACTTCGTGTAAAAGTAGAGCGTGGCGTGGTTTGAAACTTGGAGACTTCATTTCAAGATTTTAGAAACCAAATGTCTGTTTCTTCAAATGTCCATGAAGTTAGCGTCTAGAAGTTCATTGCCCCTATCCTCTCAAGTCAATAGGTCTATCACCGTCAAAACTGGCCAAAAGCATAGAATATACCTTAAATTTTGATATATTAGACCTGTGTATTTCCATTGATTTCCATCTTCGTCTAACACAGTGGTAGTATGAGTTTCACTTCAAAATAAACATGACTTATTTACTGTAGAGTTTCCACGCCGTTTCTATTGACACGTGCAGTGGCTCACTTTCGTCTGTCAACTGTCATCAATAGGACCAGACGTGATTCAAAATGACAAAATGGTTAGTAACGCCCACGAGGTCACCGAGATCTTAACAACGTGAAGACTCGAAATCTTTATAATCTGAAATGTCTTTCTCATTCAAGAAGAATTTCGTTTTCCTTTCAAATGTCGACCAGGCTGGATACAGAAAAACTGTAACAGACAAGACCCTTTTCCATTTCAGTTCCTCTGATCTGCATCACTGAAAATCCACAATTTATCATCTCGACCTTTGCTTTAAGTTAAATCGTACTTTGAGCGAGATCAGATTTTGCCAGCTTCGGACTTTAATGATCGCAAATAGAAATGGCTGCCATAAAGTAGATCAGTGGAATCATTCACAAACTCTATATTGATTTCATGATAAGAATAGAAGCCAGGTTGATTGACAAGATTCCTAAAATAGAACGTTGTTACGTGAGTCAATCAAGGAAACAGACTACACTACAAATAATTCCTTTTACCCCTCAGCGACTTTCCTAACTGCTTTTCGTTTCGTATTTTCCCAGCATGTGAACATCGTACAAAATTTAGATATGACATTAACGAAACGATATTACAAATTTGTATTAGTCTACAATATAAATACAACTTGCCCATTTTGACAGTTAGATTGAAGGTGTTCAATGTTAATGTTCGCAATTTAATTCAAATTGCCTACGCTACACCTCGCTTTGAATATTTCCTTGAAAATTTGTTGTCCTCCGTTAGTAGTGTCCACGCGAATACAGAAACGCAACACTGTAACTGTAATAATAACATGTCTAAATTTCGTGTCCGACATTTGGTAATTGTAGTGCAAAACTGGAAATATCACGAAAAATTGATAGGCGTTGAACCAGTGTAGGTCATTATAATTGAAGAATGGTAAAAACAAGTTGTTAGATGTTGAACCAGTGTGGGTCATTATAATTGAAGAATGGTAGAAACAAGTTGCTAGATGTTGAACCAGTGTGGGTCATTATAATTGAAGAATGGTAGAAACAAGTTGCTAGATGTTGAACCAGTGTGGGTCATTATAATTGAAGAATGGTAGAAACAAGTTGCTAGATGTTGAACCAGTGTGGGTCATTATAATTGAAGAATGGTAGAAACAAGTTGTTAGATGTTGAACCAGTGTAGGTCATTATATGAAGAATGGTAGAAACAAGTTGCTAGATGTTGATCCAGTGTAGGTCATTATAATTGAAGAATGGTAGAAACAAGTTGCTAGATGTTGAACCAGTGTAGGTCATTATAATTGAAGAATGGTAGAAACAAGTTGCTAGATGTTGAACCAGTGTATGTCATTATAATTGAAGAATGGTAGAAACAAGTTGTTAGATGTTGAACCAGTGTAGGTCATTATAATTGAAGAATGGTAGAAACAAGTTGCTAGATGTTGAACCAGTGTAGGTCATTATAATTGAAGAATGGTAGAAACAAGTTGCTAGATGTTGAACCAGTGTAGGTCATTATAATTGAAGAATGGTAGAAACAAGTTGCTAGATGTTGAACCAGTGTGGGTCATTATAATGGAAGAATGGTAAAAACAAGTTGTTAGATGTTGAACCAGTGTAGGTCATTATAATTGAAGAATGGTAGAAACAAGTTGCTAGATGTTGAACCAGTGTAGGTCATTATAATTGAAGAATGGTAGAAACAAGTTGCTAGATGTTGAACCAGTGTAGGTCATTATAATTGAAGAATGGTAGAAACAAGTTGCTAGATGTTGAACCAGTGTAGGTCATTATAATTGAAGAATGGTAGAAACAAGTTGTTAGATGTTGAACCAGTGTAGGTCATTATAATTGAAGAATGGTAGAAACAAGTTGCTAGATGTTGAACCAGTGTAGATCATTATAATTGAAGAATGGTAGAAACAAGTTGCTAGATGTTGATCCAGTGTAGGTCATTATAATTGAAGAATGGTAGAAACAAGTTGTTAGATGTTGAACCAGTGTAGGTCATTATAATTGAAGAATGGTAGAAACAAGTTGCTAGATGTTGAACCAGTGTAGGTCATTATAATTGAAGAATGGTAGAAACAAGTTGTTAGATGTTGAACCAGTGTAGGTCATTATAATTGAAGAATGGTAGAAACAAGTTGCTAGATGTTGAACCAGTGTAGGTCATTATAATTGAAGAATGGTAGAAACAAGTTGCTAGATGTTGATCCAGTGTAGGTCATTATAATTGAAGAATGGTAGAAACAAGTTGCTAGATGTTGAACCAGTGTGGGTCATTATAATGGAAGAATGGTAAAAACAAGTTGTTAGATGTTGAACCAGTGTAGGTCATTATAATTAAAGAATGGTAGAAACAAGTTGCTAGATGTTGAACCAGTGTGGGTCATTATAATTGAAGAATGGTAGAAACAAGTTGCTAGATGTTGAACCAGTGTAGGTCATTATAATTGAAGAATGGTAGAAACAAGTTGTTAGATGTTGATCCAGTGTAGGTCATTATAATTGAAGAATGGTAGAAACAAGTTGCTAGATGTTGATCCAGTGTAGATCATTATAATTGAAGAATGGTAGAAACAAGTTGTTAGATGTTGAACCAGTGTAGGTCATTATAATTGAAGAATGGTAGAAACAAGTTGCTAGATGTTGAACCAGTGTAGGTCATTATAATTGAAGAATGGTAGAAACAAGTTGTTAGATGTTGAACCAGTGTAGGTCATTATAATTGAAGAATGGTAGAAACAAGTTGCTAGATGTTGATCCAGTGTAGGTCATTATAATTGAAGAATGGTAGAAACAAGTTGTTAGATGTTGAACCAGTGTAGGTCATTATAA